GAATTTCCGGAGGATGAGGCCCAGAAATCAGGATTTTAAAAAGATTCCCAGGTGATTCTAATGTGCAGCCACGGCTGAGAACCACTGTGCTAGTTAATAGAAACTTGGTAGTAGCCATCCTCATAGGCATGTGCACTAATTTTTTTTAATTAGAAAAATTCTCCTTGATAGAAACTGAGTGGGGATATAGAAAATTGTTAATCATACAAATTTAGCCTATCCATTTTTTTAATTTTTTTAATATATTTTTAGTGATTTCAGAGAGGAAGGGAGAGATAGAAACATCGATGAGAAGAGAGAATCACTGAGTGGCTGCCTCTTGCATGCCCCCGATTGGGGATCAAGCCCGAAACCAGGGCATGTGCCCTGACCAGGAATCAAACTGTGACCTCCTGGTTCATAGGTCAACGCTCAGCTCAGTTTTTTAAAATTGATTTTAGGGAGAGAAAGGAAGGGGGGAAAAGAGAGAGAGAAATAGTGATTTGTTGTTTCACCCATTCCTGCATTCATTGGTTGATTTTATATGTGCCCTTGCTGAGGATTGAACCTGCAACCTTAGCATATCTGGACGACACTCTAACCAGCTGAGCTACCTGGCCAGGGCATGCCTATCCACTTAAAAGATCTTCTGCCCGGCTGGCGTGGCTCAGTGGTTGAGCATTGACCTATGAACCAGGAGCTCACCGTTCGATTCCCTGTCAGGGCACATGCCCAGGTTTGGGGCTCGATCCCCAGTGTGGGGCATGCAGGAGGCAGCAGATCAATGATTCTCTCTCATCATTGTGTTTCTATCTCTCTCTCTCTTCCTCTCTGAAATCAATAAAAATATATTTATACCATTAAAAGAAATAAAAGATCTTTCTTTCTGCAGCCAGAATTAGGCAGTTTTGTCTCTCACTACTGAGTGAGTTAGACATTTTTGAACAAATGAAAAGGCACCTATTGTGTTCTTGGTTAGAAGGACCCAGCAGATGAACATCTGACCCTCCCTAAGGCCATCTCGGACTTAACCTGTAGCTGGAGAAGTGGACCCTATAGTTTCACAGTGAAAACAGATAAACTGGCATAGCCAGGGGAAATCTGGAAAAGAAGACTAATAAGGGGTCATCAAACCTCCCAGACCTGAAAGCATATCAAAGCTAGAATAACTGGGGCCTGTGCTTGGGCAGGCCAGCAGATCAGTGGGGAATATTAGGAACCCAGAAGGAGAGCCGTACGTGTATGCATGCTGAGTATGAGATGCAGGAGCATTCACAGCCGTGGAGAAAAGGTGAGCTGTGCAGTCAGGGGCTGATACAACCAGGTCGCCTCCGGGAGAAACAAAGTTAAATCCTGCTCAGGTCCTCCATCCGAGTAAATTCCTGGTAGGTAGAAGGTGGAAGCTTGTCAGTGAAATAGCAGTAGTTCCACCAGAAGCTATGAGATGTCACATGGTCTTAAAGGAGGGAAGGCATTCTCTATGATTTAAACCCAAAGCCACAGTGGGGAAGACTGATCCGTTTGACCAAATTTAAAAATAGCACATGGAGAAAACACCATAAAAAGCAAAGATAAATAATAAAATGGAGGAAAATATATCCTGCCTAAAAGCTAATTTTCTTCATATGTATAGCGTTTGTGTCAATCTATAAGAAAGTTACCAAAAACTCAAAGGGAAAGATGGACGGATGCTCAGTATCACTCATAATAAGATCGAAACTCACGGAGATTCCATTTTTCAAGGATTAGGCTGGTAAAGGTGAGAAGGTCGGAAAGCCCACTAGATTGTCATGGAAAACAAATGCACTCGGGCTGTGGGTGGGAACCCAAGCAGGCCTGTCACAAATAAAAAATTACATCCCCTTGACCCAGCACTTCCGTCCTCAGAAGGTATCCTAACGACACATTTATACACGTGACAGTGGCCTAAGCACAAGGGCTGTGCCAGCAAATAACCCGCTTCTGTGTGTGTCAGCAGGAGAGTTGAATTAGCTGTGGTTCTCGGTAGAGTGGAATACTACGCAGCTGTCAAAAGGAGGTGCGGTTCCTTGCTACTGAGGTGGAATCATCTTCAAGACACAATACTTTTTTCCCCAAGACATATTCCTATGAAAGATATAAATTTTCTCTTAAATTTTAAAGACATTTAATTAATTAAATTCCTCAGTTTAAAGATTTCAAAAGAATTCTAGAAGAAAATTAATTTCTGGTTTCCTTTTTCTCCCACAACAAATGTAAGGTTCTTTTGAGCTCCCCATTCCCTTCATCGCATTCCAGCATGTTAGTAGCATGGGAGACAGTCAAGGGCCAGCCCTGAGCCTGGCCCAGCCTCCCCTGCGGAGGTGGTGGGTGGGAGGGCGACTGCCCGCCTCAGCGTCCGTGGCCCCTCCCCAGTACCAGGAAGCCCTGCAGCTTTGCCTGGAGCAGAACATGACCATCACCGAGGAGATGGCCGAAAAGATGACCGTGTCCAAGGACTGCACGGACCTGTCAGAAGAGTCGCGGCGCGAGCTGCTGGAGCAGATTGCCAACTGCTGCATGCGCCAGGGCAACTACCACCTGGCGACCAAGAAGTACACGCAGGCCGGGAACAAGCTCAAGGTGAGCCGGCCACAGCGGTCACGCGCACACTTTCCCTTTTGTCCCGAGTTTAGCCCAGTGGGGGGAGCTTTCCCAGCCCGGGTTCTGAAAGGCGCCTGTGGGAACCCAGAGCCCTGCGCCCGTGCCTGGCCCGGACCCAGCCTGGGGCGCCGGCTGCCGCGGGTGGGACAGGCCATGCTCCCAGCTCCCAGCCCGGCCCTGGCTCCTTCTCCTCCTAGGCCATGAGGGCGCTGCTCAAGTCTGGGGACACGGAGAAAATTGTGTTCTTCGCGGGTGTCTCGAGGCAAAAGGAAAACTACATCATGGCGGCCAACTACCTCCAGTCCCTGGACTGGCGGAAGGAGCCGGAGACCATGAAGACCATCATCAGCTTCTACACCAAGGGCCGGGCCTTGGACCTGCTGGCGAGTTTTTATGACGCCTGTGCCCAGGTACAGCCCCTGCTGGCCGTCTGGGGGCCCCCGGAGGGTCCTCGGCCCGTGGGTCCTGATGGTCTCATCTGCGCAGGTGGAGATCAATGAATACCAGAACTACGACAAGGCCCACGGGGCGCTCACCGAGGCCTACAAGTGCTTGTCCAAGGCCAAGACCAAGAGCCCCCTGGACCAGGAGACCAAGCTGGCGCAGCTCCAGAGCAAGATGACGCTGGTGAAGCGCTTCATTCAGGCCCGCAGGTGCCTTCCTGAGGAGGCTGGGGGGCGGGCACTGCGCCCCAGGGAAGCCCTGAGAAGCCCCCCCATGCTCCCCCTCACTGCCAGGGACCAGACCCAGGTTCAATTTCCAGGGAACATTCTTCATAGGAACTTCCTGGACACCTAGACAGGAACAGGTCTGAGCTCCTCTTGGGGGGCCCCTTAGAGCCTGGGCACGTGCTTGGGAAGATTGTTCAGGAAACAGCCAGAGACCGATCCGTGCACAGGGGCGGGCAGGGCATTCTACGGGAGAGGCCGTTGTACCCCGGGTGGCAGGGACTGTGGTGATCAAACCGATGCTCCCCCCACGGAGGCAGCTGGAGCCTGTGGGAAGGAGGCTCGCGCAGCACATTTTCTCTGTAATTAGGAGAGACCACAAATCTGGGTTTGTACATGACACCAGTTTTTATTGGCGACTCATCCAGCTTTTCCAGGAGCCCACTGTGTAAGCAGCAGCTCAGCTTCTGCCTAAACCAATGAAAGCGTTTTCCTCATCTGAGAGCTCCACTCATATTTTGAACACTGCTGTGCAAAGTGGGGCTCTCATAGGGGCACTGCTCACTCGGGTGCGTAAGTTCTGGAATATCTGCTGAGTCTGAGATACAGGAGGGAGAAGGGCGGAGATTGGGCAGCAAGGACTGTGCAGCCACAGGACAGGACCTTGTGGACGGAGTGGGGGGACGGAGTGGGAGGGCCAGAGGGCAGCCTGCCTGGAGTGGCCAAGTCAGGGTTCGACAGGAACGGGCCAGCTGGTCCTACTGAAGTGGGAGCTGAGCTCCTAGACCAGGGGTGGGGAACACTTTCTCTGCCAAAGGCCATTTGGATGTTTATAACATCGTTTGCGGGCCATACAAAGTTATCAACTTAAAAAATCAGCCTGCTCTATGTGGTCAAACAATTAATTAACTCACCCCTAATGCCTTGGCAGGGCCAGATCCAATGATTTCGTAGGCCTTATGCGGCCTGAGGGCTGGACATTCCCCGCCCCTGCCCTAGAGGCTCTAGCCAACCGCCCTGAGCCAAGTCCTGCTCCGGAAGCTCATGGGGCCCTCCTGGCTCTGTCCTCACTCTCATACCACTTGCTGCTCTTCCACAAACCACAAACATGTCACTGTGCAGGCCTTTGTTCATGCCAACCCCTGCCCAACCTCCTCAGCCTCTCGGGTGCCCCCCTGCATCACACTGCCCCTCTGTAGACAGTTTCCTGGGCAGGGACTAGGATTGACAAATCTTTGCTGAGGCGCAATACTGGCACTCTGAGCAGTCAGCAAGTTTTTGTTGAATGGGTGAATTTATGAATGAACTCCTTAGTTATTTTAATTCACGAGAATTACCTTCACAAAAGATTGGTCCCTAGTTCCCGTGAGCTCCGAGTGGGGCAGAGGGCCCCGCTCTGACCTCTGACCGCCAGTCCAGGTCCTGGGTTCGGGCTCAGGCTATCTCTGCTCTCGGCAGGACATACGGCGAGGACCCCAAGGAGTCAGTCAAGCAGTGCGAGCTGCTCCTGGAGGAGCCAGACCTGGACAGCACGGTTCGCATCGGGGACGTCTATGGCTTCCTGGTGGAGCACTACCTGCAGATGGAGGAGTTCCAGATGGTGAGGGCTCAGGACAATGGACGGCTCAGCTTCCCACCCTCAGCCTGCAGGAGTTGGGAGCTCACTGTGGAGCAGGCACCACTCCTGTTTTATGTTTTTTTTGTTTGTTTGTTTGTTTTTTATTTTAGCCTTTTAAAAATATGTGTTTTTTATTGAGTTCAGAGAGGAAGGGAGAGGGAGCTAGAGATAGAAACATCAGTGATGAGAGAGAATCATTGTTTGGGTCCCTCCTGCAGGCCCACGCTGGGGATCGAGCCCGCAGCCCAGGCATGTGCCCTGATCGGGCATCGAACTGTGACCTCCCCTGCACCACAGCAACCAGGCTAGCTTTTTTTTTTTTTTTTGAAATAACTTCAAACTAAGAAGTTACAAGAATAATAGAACCCCAGTGTAGTTCCTTTACCAGATCATCAGTTTTTATAACATTTTGCCATATTTATTTATTCACTCTGGATAAATGCCTTTACATTTCTATTGTAGGCACGAAATGGGTATTTTTTGAGCCAATTTGAGAGGTGCAGACATGCTGCCCCTCCACCCCTTAGATTGCTAACTCTTACGTAGACACCTGGGTGTTGAATTGCTGGGTCATAGGATGAGTGTATGTTTAACTTTCCGAGAAGCTACCAAACTTCATTTTCTTTGTCATGGTTCGTAGCAGGGTTAGTCTAGTCTTGTCGAACGCTAGGAACCAGGCCCATCTCCGGTACCTTCTAAAAGCGTTATGTCAGACTTGTGTCATTTCTTCCTTACCTGTTAGGTAGAATGCGTACGTGAACCGACCTGGCTTGGAGTTCTCTTTGTGGAAGGTTCTGATAATTCCGTTTGACAGAGTGGTTCTCAAACATTTTGGTCTTTGGACCCTTTTGCCCTAGGAAAGCTATGAGCACCCCATTTATGTGAATTATATCCACTGATGTGAATGGGAGGGGCATTTAATCGCCTTCTCGGGTATTTGTAGATATTCTTTGATGCTACACCAATGAGTGCTGTTTCCTAACAGTTGCAGGGAGGAACGGAAGCCCTACCACTGTACATCTTGTGCTCTGCTGCATTGGCCCATTGGTTTCTCCTGGATCTTGTACACCTGCATGATTTTGTAAAATCATGTTGGTCATTTGCAAAATATTGGTTCACTGAGGTAGACAAATGTCAACACATTTCATGATACGTATTTTTTTTAATCTCATTTGCTGATATCACCACCAATCTCATCAGAAAAGTCTAAGTATTGTGAAAACCTCCAGCTCGTGGTGGCCCAAAATTCTAACTTCGTTTGAAAACTCACATTTATTATCCTTGGCAAAAATACTGTCAGTTACTATTTTCCTTAAAGTGACAGTTTTTCTTTGTTCATTTTTGAAAAAATATCTGCCACATAACCACGTCTGAATAGCCACAGTTTATCTTTCAGTCGTTTTTACAGTAAGAACGATGTTCCACGCAAGTAACGAATTTAGCTCACAACCACACTAGCGTGTTTCCTCATCCTCGCCAGCATCTGGTATGATCATTCTGTTATTTCAGCCATCCTGCTGGGTGGGTGGTGGAATCTCATTGTGCTTTTAATGTCCACTTTCTTAATGACCAAGTGACGCACTGGCTGTCTGCATACCTCCTCCTGTGACTGTCCAGATCCTCTTATTTGGGTGTTTGTCTTCTTGTTGATTGTGGTCTTTATAAGCTCTAGACACATTTCCTTGATCAGCACAGGATCTGCCAGCTTTGAGTCTAGGGCCGATTTCATCGCACCTCCAAGGCAGTGCCCTTCCGAGAACTCCCTCTGTGCGCGGTGTTGGCAGCCTCCCCACCCGGCTGGCGGCTGGCGGAGTGTGCACTGCTGGCCCCTGTGCTCAGTCTCGGGGACTCTTCCTCCTGCTCCTTTCGGAGGTCTCTCCCTGGCCTCGGTGCTTTCCGCACACACATGCGCTGGTCATTATTCAGATAAAGACTCAGAAGGACCCTCGGCAGGTCTGGAGCATGCGTGCTCGCTCTGTCTCGCCCCCTTCCTCAGTCCCTCTGATTTTCTTTTTATATTTTGTTCTCAGCAGTTTGATGATGATGTCCATAGACATCATCTGGATTCCATTATGTTCCTCCAGAGAGTATAACTGTTTGTTTCTTTCCCCTCCCTCCCTCCCTCCCTTCGCTCCCTCCCTCCCTCCCTTTCTGTAATCATCTTTGTTCAACTCAGAGTCTAAACTCTCCCCTGTGTTGGGCAGCCACTAGAATCTCTGCTCGGTACTTTAGCTTTGGTCCGGCTCCTTGAAGCCTGCCCCGTCCCCACCCCTCGTAGAGCGCAGAGTCCACCAGAGATCAGGGTGGAGTTCACACTCAGGTTTGAGCTCCCCTCAGACTCTCTCCTTTCCAACATTTCCTCGCATCCCAGCTGTTAGGCTTGACCCAGTTCTGATGCTGGTTTTTAAGCCAGCGAGGGTTTGGGTTTCCATGTGCCTTTTTTTTTTTTCTATGTGACTTCCAGCTTCTCACAGTAGCCCTGACTGGGCCTCGCATGTGATAAAAGTTACAACTAGATGGAAACTCGTCTCCTGCTCCTCCCGTCTTCCACCTGTCACTTCCCTCCGTCTTCTTGCCCGTCTTCCTGCCCGAGGTTGCTCCCCAGGGCCCTTAACTTATTTTTGTGGGTGGGAAGGTTGGTCTAACACGAATTACTCTGCCACTACCGGAAGCTTTCCTCCTCATTCTTTTCCATCATAAGCCTCTGATAACCAACATAATAGTTATTCCTCGATGCATTTTTCCTTTGTGTTCCACGGGGCGTCATACAGACTTTGCTCTGCCTGCACCATCTCCTTCGGCCACCCGCTGCCTTAACCCCAGATAGTTTTTCTGGTGAGACTACAGTGACCCCAAGGAATCTCTCGGTTCCTCTTCCTTCGTGCTCACAAACTATTGACAAGTTTGTTTCAGAAATATTGCTAGTGAACTCTGCCAGCCTCATTAGCTGAGGGTTCCAGAATTCACAGGAAATTTCCAGAATTCAGCAGCAGCTCCCCGCAGTGTGAAAGGTCAGCACCATGAAACCCGGATTTCCTGACCTAAGCACTTGTTTCCTCTTTGCCCCCCACATGTCCACTCACCCATGTTTTTGTTGGGAGAAAACAACTCGAAATCCAATCTCGACAACGAGAAAAAGTGAGACAAAATTGGACTGCGAAGATGCTCAGACCACTGCATCCTCTGCCCCCCTCTCCCCCGCCCCCGTCGCGCTGTGTGTGGGAGGCAACCTGTCGATGTGTCTCTCTCACATCAATGTTTCTCTCTCCTTCTCTCGCCCCCAAACTTCTTTCTTCATTTTCCTCCCGCCCACTCAGTTCTCACTGCCTGCTGAGAGTCAAGTCTTGACAGTTGGACAGTGATATCTTCAGGGGTCAGGCGTCTAGTTACATTTCTTTGTTGTCCATCTGTCTTTGGTGGCCATGTCTTCCTTCCAGAAACTCTGCTCCCGCCCCTCATTGAAGAAATCAGCTCTGAGACCAAGCAGTCACACCGCTGGGTCCCTTCTGACCACCCAGCTCTTCCCTCCTCAGCTCTGCTTCCTTCCCTTCTCAGTGTAGGCACGTCTTTCTTTTTTTAATTAATATATTTTTATTGATTTCAGAGAGGAAGGGAGAGGGAGAGAAAGATAGAAACATCAATGATGAGAATCATTGATCAGCTGCCTCCTGCACGCCCCCTACTGGGGATGGAGCCTGCAACCCAGGCACGTGCCCTTGACCGGAATCGAACCCGGGACCCTTCAGTCCATAGGCCAAAGCTCTATCCACTGAACCAAACCGGCGAGGGCCTCAGTGTAGGCACTTCTTGCTGCCAGACCTCGTCTCCCCCTGCAGCTCCGGCTACCCTCACCACCCTGGGCTGGCCTGTCTTAGTGCTGTGTCCTGCGTGCCTAGCACAGCACCTGGCCCACAGCAGGCAAGTGGTAAATTCCTACAGAAGCCGCTTCCTGTGTGGCTGTCCTCTTCCTCTGATCTGCGAACTCCTGGGGGGCTGTACTCTGCCCATCCCCCATCCCTCCAAAAACCATCTTTGTATTTTTATCTTTGTAATCTTTATCTTTTATTTACTTTTACTATCTTAGTTATTTTGGCCCAAAATAAAGTTGCTCTAAAAGTTTTTATCATCCTTAAGAAATACTAGGAGCTGCCCTAGCCAGAGGCTCAGTGGTTAGAGCCTGGGCTCATAAACCACAGGTTCCATTCCCAGTCAAGGGCATGTACCTGGGTTGCAAGCTCGATCCCCAGCCCCGTCAGGGTACATATGGGAGGCAACCCATCAGTGTGTCTCTTCACATCAATGTTTCTCTCTCTCTCTCTCTCTCTCTCTCTCTCTCTCTCCCCCTCTCCCTCTCCCTCTCTCTCTCCCTTCCACTCTCTCTAAAATCCAATGGAAAAATATCCTCAGGTGAGGATTAAAAAAATAAATAATACTAATATCTGATCATTATTCCTCCTAAAGAAAAATTAAAAGCTCCTAGAAATTTTTATCACATTCTCAATTGATATCAACTGTACCTTGTGGGTAAGTCTTAGAGGCCACATGAGGCCCTGTTCCTCCATCCTCGCGTGTGGCCCTTCCTGTGGGTGAATGGGTATAGCGAGTGTTAACAGGTGCAGGCAGACATGGCAGCTGTGAGCAGGCACCGCGGGTGTAGGCAGATATGGGCAAGTATAGGCCAGTGAGGTTAGGCATGGTAGGTATGGGCAGGTGTTAGCAGGTGTGGGCAGGCGTAGCAGATGTAAGCACTCCGGTTCTACCTCGGACCCCCCAGCCCGGAGCTGCTCTAGGTGGCACCCTCCTGCTCTACCACATATTCCCACTGGCAGGTCCAGAGGAAGTTCCACAGTTAACCCCTTCCCCAACAATTTTTTTGTTAAAAACGTTTCTTTTTCAGACTAATTTTTTTATTTTGGTTCTATATAGTATTTTTGATGCTGGTTATGAAAACAGTTTGTAACTCGTCTTCCTATAAACCATATTTTTTTACCATATTTTCTTAGTATACTCGTCGACGACTGAAAAAGAACATTTTGTGAAAACGTGTATACACGTTTCTGCCGGGGAAGGGGTTAAACACTGACAATTCCAATTTACTGACCTAGGATCAAGGACCACACAAAGACTCACATTAATCGTAGGCCTAATCAACTGGGGTACACTGGATGCTTGGTCAAAATAAATAAGACCAACCATGTACATATTGCTACCTGCCCTCCAACCAGACTCGCCTCTGCCCCAACATACATGGAAAAGATGGAGATGTGAACCCATCCTTCCGTCAAAGCCTCCCTGGGTGTGCTTACAAGATCCTAAGAGGAGCATGGTCCCAAAACACACATGGGCTGCTTGCTCAGTGCTCCCAGGAAGCTGGCTGTTCCTGTCCAGCTGGTTGTGCTGATCACAGCTTACAGCACCGGCCATCAGAGCCTGCGCGGGCTGCCCCCCGACACCACCTCCCTTGGGAAGGCCGGGAAGTCGCAGATTGCACCCAGTCCCTCCCTCCAGAAGCAGGGACAGCTTTCCTCTGACCTCCGGGGTCAGGAGTTCAAGGAACCATTGCAGTGAAGGGCGTGGGCCCTTGGTTCTGATATGAACTAACCCAATCACGGCTGTTCTGTGTGACGCAGGCCTACAAGTACCTGGAGGAGATGCGGAGGCGGCTCCCCCCCGCCAAGCTGTCCTACTACGTGAACCAGCGGACTGTGGACGCCGTGCACCAGGGCCTGGGCATCCCTCTGGCGTGCGTCGTGCCGGAGCGGATCCACCACAGCAGCATGGAGGACCCCAAGGAGGTGGACGAGGAGGTGATGGAGGAGGTGGAGACCGACCCCTGAGGGGCTGCTGCTGCAACAGCTCTTCTGGAACTTCCTAGTTACCAATTGCAGCACGAGCCTGTCTTTTTGAAAAGACTTTAGTGTTTGAGCACAGCTGGGGGCCCAGGGCACAGGCGGCCTGCTTAGCAGGGAGTGTGCAATTTTAAGCATCCCTTCCACGTCTCTGGTCCTTCAGAACTTTGGTTTAGCCCCTTTACTGTTGAGGAAATTGGTTCTTTTTTTCCCATGGCATTCTCCAAGCTCAGATTTTGAAGCCTAAGAAACTTCTAGAACTTTGCAGACTGACATTAATATGTTCACTGTGCCTCCTCCCAGCACCCAAGAAGGCTGCCTGACATGCATCCAACAGTTTCCAGCAAGATACACAGTACCTGACCCCAGGGCCATCCTGAGCAGACACCAGAGCGGCCAGTGGTGGGTTCTCTGTCAGGCAGCCTGGCAACAGCTCCCACTGTGAGGGAGCAGCTGGCACCATGACATCTTGAGGAGAGGGGGACCCCGGGCTCCACCCACCGGCCACTGAAGCTCTCCTAATAAAGTTTATTTTCTCAGAGGCGTGCGTCCCCTTCCTGCCCCACGTTTTCATGTCTGCCCTGCAGAGGGCTTGTGTAGGCACGGGGGTCCCTGTCTGAGCAATAACCACAAAGCGTGGGTTTGAGCACCTGTAACTCCTTTTTATTCTTTCTTCTCTGTTGTTAACATAACCTGCCGTTAGGCGAGGAGAGGGGTTGAGGACACAATGCCAAGAAGCCCACAGGGGCCCAGCAGCCCGCTGCTCTGCCGATCTTGGCAGCTCCCAGCAGCTCCCACTGGAGCACATCCAGGCCCTGAGCAGCAGCACCCTCCCCTCCCCCGCCCCTGCCGCCACCTGCAGAGCCAGCTCCCCGGGAGCCTCCCACCGAGTTCAGGGTGCTGTCGTTGGGGCAGTACCAGAGGCCCTGGCGCGGACTCCTGGCCGAGCACTCTGACCTTCTGGGCTATAAACAGCGCAGGCGGGGCCTTCCTGCCTCACGCTCAGGACCAGGTGACAGCCCATCCCACGAGGGGCTGCACCACAAAGCCCACGTCAGCCTGGCTCCGCGGGCCTCGTGCTCGGCCCTCCGGCCTTCCTTCTTCCAGCGGGCATGGTGCCCAGGGACTAAGGAGGAGACAGTGGGAGGAGCTTGTCTTTGAGTTTCTCCAGCAGCAGCAGTGCCTTCACGGCCAGCATTCTGCAGTCCTCATCCGGGTCCTTCTCAGCCACGTCTGCCCAAGAGGGGAATCACACCAGAGCACAGCATTACATGGTGCTGAGCAGCCGCCCTCTTCAGTTGTGTTTCATTAAGTCTTCCTGAAGGAAGCCCCACGGGGCCCGGCGTGGCCAGCTGCCCTGGGCTTCAGGCCCCAGACCCTTTGCTGAGGCCCCCAGTGAGAGCAGCACCTTAGATGCCAGCCAAGGGCCTACACTGGGTCCCTGGCAGAAGCAATGCTCCCCTCCACCCAGGCTGGGAACTCCAGCAGGTGGGGAGGCAGGGGGAGGCTAAACACACCCCCCTCCACAAAGCCACTCCAAGCTTGCAGCGCTCACCCCAGGGAAGGAGCCTGCACCCAAGACCATGGACAAGGGTCGCTGGATGCCACACACCTGCAGCACGAGACCCCGAGAAAGCCCAGGCACCACCCAGAATCGTGCAGACATGTGACATGAGAGATAATCAGAGAAACCCACATAGGGGCTCTGCACACGACCAACAGGACGAAAGACACTGGGGACAGTGGACTGGAGGAGCTGGGGGTGCAGGACAGCTCGGGACCCTGGGCGGGACCCGGAATCCGGCAGAAAGAAAAAGGCCGTCCTTGCATCACTGGGCCCCCAAGCGTGGCCATAGATTAAACGGTCCAGTCCCAGCCGTGTGCCGAGGGTAGAAGTTGGAGGGGGAGGGGGTGGGGGGGGCTCTGAGGCCGGCTCAGCTGGCTACAGGTGGGCGGTTATACTCATCACAACAGACTTTTTTGTTTGTTTTACCCCGCTACCACAAATTATGCAGCCGAGTTCCCCACATTTGGGGACATCACTGAGGTCAGCACATCTGGAGGGCAATGGCTAAGCCTCGCCCTGGGAAAACCACCTTCGTGATCATGTTCTCTCCCCCGCCAGGTAAGTATACAACAGACTTCTTAAAAAGAGCTTGTAGGAGAGGAGGATGGGGACAAAATATGTCAAAGCACTAATAATCAGAGAATCTAGGGAGGGTACACAGTGCTCACTTTATGAGTTGTATAACCTTTCTGAGTTAGAATTTTCCAGAATGAATACAGATGCCATCTCCCACATCAGGGCGCCTTCTCTCAGGTGCCCTGCAGGACTCCCCAGAGTGACCCCAACAATGGCCACGTTCCAATCCCCACACTGGGGGACACACACAGCCGTGGACTGGGGCTCGCTCAGCTCTGGGAATCCCCACGGTGCTCCCTGCACCCTGACGGCCGCCGGCACCCTCCAGGCTGCACTGGCCTCCCGCCCACCTTGCAACTGCAGCCTGGGGCCCCGCGCTCACCTGCCAGCCATGACCGGGCTTCCAGCAGCTCATCTGGTAGGTCTTCGAGCAGCCGCTCAGCCGGGACGCTGAGGAGGACGGAGGAGACGGCAGACAGCAAGCCGCGGCGCACGTAGCTGCCGAGCAAGGCGAGGGCTAAGCCCCAGTGGAGCCACAGGCTAGGCAGGGAGACCCTGATTTTCCTCCGAGCACAGCAGTCAGGCCGGCCACAAAGCATGCCTGGCCCCGCCTAGCCCCCCTCCTTCTTACTGCAGGGCCAAGTTGCCTCTCGGCCACCCCTAGGAGCCGCCGTCAGCCGCCCCATTTCCACTTTCTAGGATTCAGAGCCCACTTGTGTCCACGTGGGGCCACTGCCCTCAGTCCCCGGCCACTCACGTGTCACCGTGGAAGCGAAGGGCCCACACGAACTCCAGCAGAGCCTTGCCCATGGACACCGCCACCTGAAACAGCAGAGGCCAATGGGCATGAGTCCTGGCACCCAGCAGCCCCCACCCTGGACACTTTCCTCAGGTGCAAACACTCCTGTCCCTGGGGCCAAGGTATGGACCACGGGAAGAACAAACTGCGGCACACAATCTACGTAAGTGGGGGCCGTCAGCTGCAGCTCCCAGCTCACCGTGGTATTCACAGCCAGGTACATCAGGGCCCCTAAGGTGTGGGCCAGTCTCCCGAGAACCAACTGGTCATCTCCCAGAAGATCGAAGGTCACCAGAGGCCTACAGCACAGAATCAGGTGAATGGCGCAGGTCAAACACTCGTCAACTTCCCGACCGCCTGGGCCAATGGACATCCCTGCCCCCGGATGCTGCTCCTCACCGCCTATCCCCCTGCGGCACCCGGAGCCATATGGGAACGTGTCAGACAGACACCCAGGCACCCTGCAAGGCTGCCTGGCACAAGCCCCGGCCTGGGTCAGGAAGGAGGGGCCGGGACTTGAGGGAAGCAAGGCCACCCACCCCGGCCTAGCCCTGTCCCTGAAGGGAAGGGCTCAGTCCCCGGCCCTCCCCACCATCACCAGAGCATCACTCCATGTGTGACGGTGGCCAAGGGGATGTCTACCCCACTCAGGTTGAGGCTGGACAAGGAGGAAAAGGCGGGGTGGGCAGAGCACTTGCAGCATCGAGGCTGCACAGCAAGGCTCTGACTCCACCACAAACCAGACGTGTGACAGAAAATGTGACACCTAATGCCCTTGCCACGTCTTTTACTTTAAGCTCCGAACGACCACAGCACAAGTCATGATCCCGCTGCTGCCTAAAGCCCCACCTCGGGCCCCACCCCGGGAAGCCGCCTGTCCTCAGAGGTATCCAGGGCTCATTCCCCAAACCACGGGCTTCCCACGCACCTGTCAAAACCCTGAATGAGCGGGAAGAAGAAGTAGCCAGCCACGGAGTTGAATTCATTGGGGCTGCCAGCTGGTCCCTGCCTGGAAGAGCCCTGCCAAACACACAGGGAGCCACATGGGTGAGGAGCACAGCCTCCCCTCCCCGTGCAGGACACGCTCCTGGACGGGCCGCCCTGTGTGCCATGGGAGAGTATGCAGCCTCCCTGGGCCCTACGGGCTGGATGCCAGTAGCACCCAACCCCATGACAACCAAGAACGTCTCCAGCTGGTTTGGCTCAGTGGATAGAGCATCGGCCTGCGGACTGAAGGGTCTTGGGTTCAATTCCAGTTAAGGCAGTGGTTCTCAACCTTCTTAATGCCGCGACCCTTTAATACAGTTCCTCATGTTGTGGTGACCCCCAACCATAAAATTATTTTCGTTGCTACTTCATAACTGTAATTTTGCTACTGATATAAATCGTAATGTAAATATCTGATATGGAGGATGTATTTTCATTGTTTGTGACTCACAGGTTGAGAACTGCTGATCG